CCTGGGAAACCCTCACCCAGAGGATGTTTCCACTAGCTGATGGTTGGCACAGAATCCCACCTCAGTCCATAAGGAGGATCTATCAAGCCTGGCTTCCCTCTGAGACCTCATTTCCCACTCCCGTCTCTCCCCTGACAGGAACTCCAGGGTCACAGTACCTCCCTGGCTGCCTCTGGGCCTTTGCATTTGCTATTCTCACTGCCTGAATGCCTGTCACCTTTTGCCCTTTGCATGCTTCTTTCCTTCTTATCTTCAGGCTCAGCCGTCAGCTCCTCAGAGATGTCACCTCCTCTGACCCTTCTGTGCAAGGCAGCTTTGCAGCTCTCTGTTTATTGTTTTTTCCTAGCCCTTAGTGACTGAAATTACATTATTTCTGTGCTTATTTGTCTCTTTTGCCTGCAAGGGCAGCTCCGCACTGGCAGGGACCTGGTCTGCCTGGTTCCTATTTACCTCCTGGGTCCAGAACGGTGTGTGGCACACGTCAGTCCCTCCCCGGGGTACTGGGGGAAGAATAAATGATGGGGGATTAAATGGAGTAGGCTAAGTAGGTCCAGCTGTGGCTCACTGTAGGCGCTCACTGTGTGGTGATTATTCTCTCTGTGTTACTGGGCTTACTGTATTTCCTCCGGCTCCTGTGGCCCTGTGGTTTCTTCCTCTCCCTCCACTCCCAAGGTCCAGCCCCTGCGCACTGCCCCTCAATGCATTTTCTCCTTGTTGCATCCTGGTCTGGCCACAGCTTCTTCCTTCCTGCAGCAAGAAGACAGCTTGCAAGACTGCAAAGGGCAGTGGCTAAACTGGCCGTCCGCTGGAGCAGTAAACTGCTACAAGTCAACCCTGAAGATCAAACTGTTTTGGCAGCCAGCTTGGCTCTTGGCGGGATAGGTGGGGAAAAGGGGAGTTTTCACATTTATTAATTTTTCTCCATCTGCTTGGACTCCTGCTGGAACATGACTTGAGCCGCATGGGAAGCCCAATGGCCAGCTGTTGACAGGCTTCCGAAGCCAGTTCCAGGTGGGGCAGTGACCCAGTGTGGCATCCAGACCCTGGGGCATGACTGGAAGGCAAGGGGTGGCCCGCAGTCCAGCGCAGGGCCTGGCATCGAGGTGGTACCTGCAGCACAAGCCGGGTGAGTCAGGGTGTGACGGCCAGTGGAGGAGGGCTGATCCGTCTCCATGCTGACCTGGGTGCGTTTCTCGGCCTCTTGCTCTCTGTCTGCAACTTGCCCTCTGTCTGTGGAGATAAGCATCTCCCAGCTCCTTCATGAGCCACAGTCTTGGGGGAGGAAGCAAGGCCGACATTGTGACAGGGCTGAGAGAGAGGCCTCCGGTTCCTCCAGCCGCTCCTCTTCCAGCTGCCCCGAAGCAGCCATGGCAGAGGCTGGAAAGGTTGATTGAGAGCCCTATGTGGTCTGCAGGGGTTTCTATGGGAGCCGGACTGGAGTCGAGGGCAAGGCTACTAATGGGTCCCATCCCTCAGCGTGAAACCCAAAGTGTCTGGAGCATGACGATTCTCGTAGCAGCGAGGTGCTCTGCCGTTACTCTTCTGTGGATAAATCCCCTGTCCTCTGAGGCTCAGATAACCAGGTCTGTGAGCTCCACACCACTCCCCACTTCACCACTCTTGCATTTGTAGTTTGGGCTGCCACCTGCTGGTGAGAAGCGGAATTCCAGAGCCGGGATGTAGGAGCCTCCTTGGCCTCCTTGCTACTGTGGGTGGCGCGGTGCAGGCGTCCAGGCCGGAATCCAGGAGGTAGATGCAAGCGCCACGTGCTGATGTCATGACTGGCTTGCAGAATTCCTGTGAAAAACAGGTCCCAAGGTGTGCCCATTTTACCTCCTGAATATTCCTGGAATGTCCCCTGCACTGCCTTTTCCCATCTGTACCTGTGTTCCCTCTAGGTCCAGCCACCACCTCTGTCCCTAGATCCTACAGCAGCTCCTCGATGGCCTCCCTGCTTCCACTCCCGTTTGCATCCAGCAGCCAGGAGCTCCCACAAAACGCAGATTCCATCGCGCCTGTGCAGGTCCACAGAAAGGCCTTTTGGAGCTCGCCCTGTCGCAGTCCTGTCCCCCACCCGCTGCCCCCTGCAGACCTCACCTATGCTTTCCCGGGCCTGACACACCCTTCCCTCCCCTCTGCCTGGCCAGCTCTTGCCCAAGCCCCAGGGCCCTCGTGGGTGCTGCCGCCTTCTGGCTGCCTCCCCAAACCCCCACTGTGGGGTCAGCGTCCTGCAGTCTGTCAGCTGCTGTTGCCCAGTTTGAGTTCCATTGCCTCTTGGTCTGGGACCCCTGGGGAGCACAGGGCCAGAGTGGGATTTGCTGTGTCCCCAGCTGGGTCCTCCTTTTCCTGAGCATGGAAGCTCTGTTGATTGAGAAATTGCCTCTCAGCAGGATGTGGATCCAACACGCCGAGGTCACGTTCTTAGTCTCCTGGCCCAGGCCCCAATTCTGCACTGACCGGGTGTCCTCACGGTGACCACAATTCCCGAATCTCCTGGGTTTACCATGCTCTTCCTCAATTTATCCACGTGGCTGGCTCAGGATCGCCATCTCCTGGACAGGACTTGGAGGTACAGCGATGGCCTGTTGGGTGGTTTCCGCGGAGCCCTGCAGTTTATGAGGACGATACAGGAGGCAGAGTACGGTCTGACTGCAGTGTTGGCCTAGCTGGGGGCTTGGCACGGGAAGCACGTGACCGTGTCCACTTGCTCCGTGGGGTGGGGGCAGTAGGGGATAGTCAGGCAGCTCTCTCACTCCGCCTGTTTAACGACAGGCGTGTATGCTCAGTCCCATCTCACTGGCCATGCCCAGAAGGCCTCTGGACACCAGCTTTGGGGGGAGGAGTTTCATACAAGTGATTTATTAAGAATGGGCCCTGGGTGGCCAGTGGAGGAGAAAAGGAGCAGCACAGGAAAGATGTCTCAGGTGCTCTTCTCACTGCTGAGACAAAATACCCACACCCGAAGTTAAAGGAGGGAAGGTTTATTAGCTCACACTTTGTGGAGGTTTCAGTCCCTCATTGCCTGGCTCCAAGGCAGATGGCACTGGCAGAGGAGACACAGTCCATACCAAAGCCAGGCAGGCAGGAGCCAACAAGCAGCAAGGGACACACTGGCCCTCTCTCTGTCCCTTGAATCTTACCTTTGGGCAGCACTTAAACCCAAGGTGGGGTGCCCTGAATCCTACCAGAACTATGCCCAACCAACCAGTGGACTGACTTAGTAATCACACACCTGATCCCAGTACCACATGCTTGAGATCCAGCCACCTCTGCAAAGCCCCACCTGCGATGCTTTGGGAGACACTTGACACAGCCATCTGGAAGGGGAGGCGGCGGAGCCAAGGGACATTTTCAGGCAGCCCCAGCTCCAGCCAGTGAACACTCAGCAGGCCCCTGGAGTCTGAATTTCCCATCAAGTCAGTCCTTAGCAGATGGCTGCCCAGCAGGGAGAGAACACAGCCTCGAGCCTCCCTGGCTCACAGAAGCCAAGGAGGTGCAAGGCTGACAGAGAGGGGCCCTGGCAGCCGCCCACTGTCCTGCCCTCTCTGCATCCTGTCTCCAGGAGCGCCTGTGCCGTTCTCTCTGCCCGAGTCTGTGACACGTCCTGTCTTCTCACACACGGGCCACAGCAGCTCACGTCAGGGCTGCTGCCAAGGGCTCCCTGCCTCACCCTTGGCTGGCCGTTTACATCTTGTAAGGTATTCTTGTGTGTGTGCTCAAGTATCCAGAGGTGTTTACAGCCACAATGGAAATTTCCTGCTGCTTTCTTTCCAGGGTGGAAGGCAATGTTTTCTCAAGGATTAAATTAATTAAATTAATTTCTCAAGGATTAAAAGAACACTGAGGTGGCTTCAGATCTTCCTGGAATCCCTTCAAGCCTAAGGCTGTTCCCGGTGCTTTGGGAGGCCAGGGACTGGGGCTGGCTGGCTGGACTTTCTCTGGACTCCCTCAGCCAAGCCCACTTGAAGCCTCCCACCTGTTTTTCTGGCTGTGGACCTGGATCTCGCTGCATTGCAGCCCATGTCCCAGCCCTCTGTAGCCTCTTTTGGGGTCCCCACTCTTGCTTCCTGTCCTGCTAACCCCGATGGCCCATGGGAAGTCCTGCCTCCCCCAGGACTCAGGAAAGGAACCTGCACATCCTCAGGGCTGGGGCTTCTTCCCTGTGATACCTGCAGCCCCCAGCCCATGTTCCAGAGTTCAGAATGAACTTCCCACTCTAGGACGTTTTCAGGACCCCAGAGTCCTAAACTGGGCCCTTTTCTACAACCCCAGTCAGGTCTCAGCCTTGGCTCCCTGGGCCCAGGCAATGGCTTGGGACTCTCACTGCAGAGCCAAGGATGCCTCTCTCCCCTTTGTGGGCCACACAAGAAGGGCCTGGGAATTCCCCCCAACTCAACACAGTCACAGTGGGTGACAGCCACAGCTGGTGTACAAACCCCGTGGCCTCTTCTCCCCAGAGCAGGCATCTCTGAGGTTCACATTCTGCCCAGATTCTGCCCAGAGGCCCTGTGGGACTCGGCGCTGGCCACCCAGTGCCAGCCGGGCTGACAACATAACCTCACCAGCCGCTTTCCCTTCCTGTTCGCCTCTGGCTCTTCCTCCCAATCCCCACCTCCCCGAACTTGTATCTCCTCTCTGACTGCTCCTGGGGAGCCTGTGTTAGGGCCGCAGGCCCCAGGCCTGCTGGGCAGTAGCCTGCTTTCCTGTCTCGGAGCTGCCTCTTCTCCACCTCCGCAGCTCTCCTGTAAGCAGCAGGCTGTGACCGTGGTGGCGGCATCCCGTCCTCTGATTCTCCTGGTTCCTGCCCGTCTTACGCAGGACACTGGCGCTGAGGGTGCTCTCGCGCTAGATGAATCCTTGTGCCACAGAGGAGACTCCCGGGGCATGCTTGGCTGTTAGCTGCCCGATGTCCCCAGTCACAGCCCGGTGAGCTGTGCCGGAACTGATTCAATCTGGCGGGAAAGGAGGCAGCTCCCAGCGCAGGGGAAATTTATCCCAAATCAGCAAAAGTAAACTTTAATTCTGCTCCAGTATGAGCACAGTCCTTCCTGGGGATAGAACATTGGCACGTCCATTCTCTCCACCAACAGCTGGGTCCAGAAGGACATGAGGAGACAGCTGCCCCGAGGGCCAGGAGTTCTGTTTCTGGAGAGGGAAAGTGCGTCACAGCACGCGGCCAGCTCCTTCCAGGTTGTCCCTTCTGTCCCTCTGGCTCTGCTTCTGCAGGTGCAGCTCCAACAACTCGGGCTCCAGCTCCTAACTGGAGCCACAGTCACCTATAATATCTTCTTGGGCACACAGCCCTCCAGCTCCAGCAGCTCTGGCCAGCCCTCATACTTGTTTGTCTGTGGGTTGTTCTTTAAGAACTAGAGAGAGAGAGAGAGAGAGAGAGAGAGAGAGAGAATGTGGGACGCTGTTAAGGACTCAACACTCAAACGCCTCACTCCTGGTCACCTCACCACAGCCCCATTTCACAGAGAAGTGAACAGAGGCTCCATTTCACAGAGAAGTGAACAGAGGCTCAGAGAGTGGCTGCAACCAAACTGGATAAACCAGAGAACTGGGATCAAGCTGGTGCTCTTTGGGGACACTGAGGGTGGGGGAAGTGATTCGAGAGCTTTAGCCCCTCCTCCAAATTCTCCATCAGCCTCTCTAAGACCAGCAAATAGCAGGAACAGTAGCATCAATAAGTCAGGCGCACACCGGGAACCTTAGCACCCTGGAAGGCTGAGGTAGGAGGAGCACAAGTTTAAGCCCTGCTTGGGAAATTTAGTGATTGCTGGAGACCCTGTCGCAAAGTAATAAGTGAAAGAAGGGCTGCAGGGGGAGCTCGTTATGAAGGCCCTCGGTTCAATCTTCAGTACTGAAAAAACACCAGTAAGGAAAGATCTAGCACTTCTTGAGCACCTGTAGCACGCGGGCTCTATTCTTGCTCTGCACGCAGCCTAGGAAGTGCATCCTGTTAGCACCCATTGTACAGATGGGGATGTGGAGGCACAGAGCGTTAAAGCCCCTGCCTGTGGTCACCTTGTTGGCATGTACCTGAGCCACTATGAAATATTAATGAGCACTACCAGTACATATATAAAGAAAATATATGGGCCTCTCCTTAGGTTCCTCCCCAGCACCATGCGGCCCTGCTGGGTCCCACTGGGGACCCTGCATCTCACCTCTCTTCTCCAGGAGGGGCTTCTGTGTGCTAGGGTTTATCTAGACAGTGATTTCCATGAGCTGAAGACGTCCATTTAGAAACACACACACACACACACACACACACACACACACACACACGCACATGCACCCAGGCCCGCGTGCACACACACAGGACCCCTGCTGGGGCTCCTCCAGGCCTCCCTGCACTGAGCGGCTTCCAGACCTGGTGGACTGGTGGGAGGCTCTGGCCACCTCTGCACCCTAGCTTCTTGTGAGAGCTGAGGCGACGTCTCTGAGTGTGGAAGGAGAGCCTGCGGGCGACCCGCGGCACATGCCGGGCAAGGCCAGCTCCGGCCCAGCACCAGTTTTCTCTCTCTCTCAGTCTGATCCTGTGCTTTCCCGCTTAAGCTGCCCATGGCTCCCCACCACTTCCCACCACCTTCCCACCACGGTGTGCTCCGGCTCTGGACATCGGGATTCTGATGCCTATTTCTGTCTGGGGTTCTGGTCACCAGTGAGTGTCTTCACTCTGCTGGGGACAGCGTGGCAGGTTCTCCCAGTTCCTCGAATCACTTCAAGCTGGGATCCATAAACGTGGCTGCTCTGTTTTCCTCAGGGACCCCCAGCTCTGTCTACTCCCTCTTCCCCTGTGGGTGCTCCTAAATCTCCACATCTGGGTGCCTCGGAGACCCCTCTGCTCAGGGCCTCCTCCAGGCGTGGCTGTAGAGCCCTGTTGTGGGGACCTTGCTGGCTCCTTTCACAGCCCGCCTGGCTCCCCCACTGTCCCTCTTGGTACAAGTTTGCTTTCTGTGAAGGGACTTTGAAGGGGCCTTGGGGCTCCCCTGGTCCAAACCCTTCTCTTTATGGGCAGAGAGACTGAAGCCTGAAGAAGCGGGGGTTTGCCTAGGTCACGGCTGGACCAGAAGCCCGGCCCCGCTTCCACCAGGACGCAGGCTCCATCTCCTCTCCATGCCCCTCTACACACCTGTGCATTTATAAGTGATTCATCTCTCACAAATGGTCAAGGTGGCTTCCTGCCAGTCTGGCCAGCTGGACCCCCCAGGATGGGAGTGGTGACAACAGCTACATGGTGTCCATGGGGACACTTTTTCCACACGGAGTCCTTGGCATCCTACACAGCTCCCGGTCCACCCTTCGCCACACCCTGCAACTCCCGCATCCATGAGGCAGGAAGGCTGTGGGGAACTCACCTGCTCAAAGGGGCTTTTGCTCCTCAGGTCTTTGGCCCCCAGGAAAACCCAGCTGTCCCGGAAGCCCAGCTGCTTGGCGTAGTTGCTGCCCAGGCTGGAGAAGAGCTTCCTGATTTCATCGTTCATTCTGCAGAGGACAGGATGGTCAGCACAGGGGGTGCTGAAGGACACCAGGTGGGGGGACAGGCCGGGGGTCCTCAGAGCTTCCCCCGTTCCCCTCCATGCACAGCAGTGTCCCAGCCAGAGGACATCGGGCCAAGGGGGCCAGAGGCTTCCTCCGCAGAAGGGCCTCTCAGCGCGGGCTGCAGGGGTGCCAGGCAGACCTGGCTTCTTCACAACACCAGGTCACAGAGAGAAACAGCTGAGGACCTCCCAGAGCAGAGGCGGCAGTAGCCTCACCCCCCCCCCCACGCCTTCATCGCAAACATTTTAGGACCGTCACGCTTCACTTATGCTCTGAGCAATGTGAACTTAGGTGACTTGGTGACTGACCAAGATGGCCAAGATGGCCAAGTTGTCCCTGTGGCCTAATGTTACAGTACCAGGTAGAAGGTACTTCATCACTGGCACTAGACTGGTTTTCCTGTCACTTAGCTCTAGAGGATGAGCCTGCATATCTTCTGCCCACCGTTTAGGGTGCAGGGGTCTCCCTCCACGCACGGACACTCATGCCCTGAACCGGACTCATAGCCTCTGTGACCAGCAGCCTCCCCCAACTCCCAGATGCCCCAACCTGCTTATTTCCCAGGGGTCATCAGAGGCAGGAGCTGGCAGCAGGGCAGACAGAGAAAAGCCCAGGGGCAAGGAGGCGTTTGGTTTACACCACTACCTGGGCCTGCAGGTAGTGCCACTTACTTGGTACCTGGGTCGTCATAGGAGGCCACCAGCACCAGTACGCCCTCTGAAATTTCTCTAAGGAATTTCAGCAGAAGTTTTGGATCTGTGGAAGGAAGAAAAAAAAAATGCAGTGTAGGGCATTTAGGGGGTATGACCCTGCTCACTCTCGGTCCTGCCCATTGTCCTCCGGGGTCAGGAAGAACTTGGTGCGGGCTGAGAGCAAGCTCGGGAGCTGGGGTCAGCGGTGTGGTTTAAGAGTGTCACCCTGGGGTGAGCTTCTGCAGCTAATGGCTTGGGAAATGAGCAGAGTGAGGGGTTCCCCTCATGGTGATGGAGATGACTGGACATTGGCACGTGAAAGTCCCCCAGGGTACTGCATGAGCCACTGGCCAAAGAGCCCTTGTGAACTGGATGTAGTGATGCCTGCCTCTAACCCTAGTACTGGGGAGGCCAATGTAGGAGGATTCCAGGACAGCCTGGAAGTGAGTAGTGGGTGGTGAGACTCTGTCTCCAACAATCACAGCCACCACAGTGGCTCTTGTAGGGCCACTCCCCAGGGACCCAAGAGTCCAGGCTTTGCAAACCCTGACTGGTCAATGCCCAGGTGACTTGTGTGGTCTTAGAGAGTTCACCCTGGGAGTCCTGCACCCTCCTGCTGTGTTAGGATGCAAGGCTCTGTGTGCCTTTAATGTCCCCCTGAACTGGTGACCCTCTGCACTGGGTAGAGTATGGGCCTGGGTCAGCACCTGGGAAGGTTTGTGAGGTTCCTGTGATCCTGCTGATGTGTTTTTTCCATTGTGTTTAGTTTTAGTCCTCACAAAACAAGTGATAATGGCTTTCTGCCTAGGGCCACAATAGTTTTCTCTGAAGATCTATTGACTCAAGTGAGGAAGGGAGCTGATTGAAAGGAGGGCACTAGCAGTGCAGGAGCATTCTGGGAAAGGTCCTCCTAGGTGGCTGGTGCTCAGGAGAGGCAGCCTCTTCATTAAAGCAGGGACAGCTGTCAAAGGAGGACATGGAATCGCTTTGCTCGTAGCATTTTGGTAAAGCTTGGCTGTGGAAGGAGTGAGCCCGGAGTGAATGCATGTTAATGGAATTGCACCTAATTAGCGAGACTGGCCTCATACTTCTTGAGGCCCAGTGCAAAATGAAAATGACGGGCCTTTTACTAAAAATTATTTAGCCCTTTGATAGCAGAGCATCAAGCTGCTGGTAAGGACTTAGAAGACTGGGACACCAGCAGGGTCAGGGCCCTGTCCCGCCTGGCTGGCCCGAGGCCACTTTCCAAGGGGCAGCCTGTGCTCAGAGAGGCCAAAGAGCCTGTCTGCGCAAGGACAGAAACAAAGACCTCTGCAGAAAGATGCGGAGGAGGGAGCCCCGGAGGGATCCTCCCGTGGCCCTGTCCTGACCTTGGCTGCACTAAACACCTCCGTACCTAGCACAGCTTAGGCGGGCAGCAATGGGGTTTCTGGGCTGGAAGGTCTGCCCCGGCTCCCAGCGCCCATACCCATCCTGTGACGGGCAGAAGTGCAGGAAGGGACTGGGAATCAGGCCTGTGAATCCCACGTTTGGTGCCTCTGGACTGTGACTGAGCTTCACTGGCCAACTCACACCGCGTGGCCATCCTCTCTCTGCCTACCCTTCCACGGAAACCTCCTGTGGTTACCTGCCACACACACACCGCACTGGACCTGAGCCTGACAGGTCTGGTGCATCCCACAGCAAGGCCTTTCAAAGGCACCAGAAGGCCTGGCCCCAGCCAGCTGCCCCGGCTCCCACTGCGAGTGGGTCACTCTGCCCAGCAACACGTGCTAACAGGACCTACCTCCCAAGTACATGTCGAAAGCACTCATCTTCATCACCTCTCCCGTGGTTCCTAGGGGTGAGAGAGCAGCAGTTAATGCCGCAAAGTGAAGCATCCTGCTTGTCTTTTTGCTGAGCTTTGACACTCAATAGTCTAAGGTCTAAGCATGGAATAGGTGTGGCATGGAATCAGGTCCTGCAAAGGACCTGTGGGACCAGAGAAGGCGCCCAGTAATAGCTGGGTTGATTCTGCATCTTGTCCTGCTGATTGCTAATGGGCAAGGTAGCTTTCCCACCTCAGGTTTTGTATGCCTACAATGGGTTGCAGGATCTACATTGTGGCTGCAAAACAGTAATGAAAACGTGAGAATCGTCCTCGCTATTCCCACCTATATTGAAAAATCTCCAAGTTTTGAAGGGAAAGAGATTTGCAGTGGGACATGGTGACTTGGTACAGGTCATCTGAATTGCTTTCGTGGTGAGGGGAGGCCCGCCGAATTCAAATTCCCCGAGGAGCCTGCAGTTTTGGAGGAAAGTCATAGTTCTCCTGTTTGACCACTAGATGGGAGTGTTGCAGAGCGGATGACAGCTCGGTCTCCTGCGGGCGAACAGCCCTCCCTGGCTGCTCAGAGCCGGATGAAGTCCGCATAGAGCTTCTCCTAGACTCTGGGTTTATGGGGTGATTCCCTGTGGGCTGGCCCTGGCCACGCTTCTGCTCTCAGGCAAGGAATGGGCCGCTGCTCAGACTTCGAGGGCCACTTCTGGGGACAGAGGTCAGGGCAGACACAGACGCAGGTGGAGCTGGGCGTGGCATGGCCCATGACCAGGAGGGTGCGACGGGGCGGGACCCGAACGGAGCTCAAGGCCCTGCCCTTCGCTCCAAAGGAAGCTGAGAGCGGTCAGGGCCTGGAGCAGCAGCCAGAGCGGGCAGCTGGGAGGGGAGGCAGGGGAGCCGGCCCTGCCCGCAGTACTTCCCTGGGCTTCGTCCTGCAGGGAAGGCGGGCGGCCTCTGGGCCTCTCTAGAGTTGAACCCAGGTCTGGCCGATCCGGGTCTTGGTCACTGGGTGGAGCTACACCTCCGAGGCTTTCTATGGTGTCTCCTGTGTGAGACACCATTTGTCGAAAATCTACCCAGTCATGGAGGCCTCAGGGGCTCCACAATCAAAGCATTACCAGCACCCTGGTTCTGAACCGCTTAGCAGGAAGGGGGTCCTCCAAGACACAGCTCAAACAGCGCTGCCCATCTCACTCCTGCCCCGGAGCAGCTGCAGAGTGCAGGCCGCAGGAGAGGCAGGGTTGTGGTCACCAGGGGCTTCCCATGGCGCCCCTGCTCCAAGCCGGGACAGAGGTCTACCCTGCCTTCTCCCTTCTGGAAGCTTTCCCTGGCCACACATAGGGCTGGGAAGCCGGGGGCTGTCCTCCCAGGGTGCAGCTGGCCCATGGTGCCCTCGCAGGGCCTGGCTAACAGTAGCTGCTGTGGGTGACGTGTGTCAAGTGAATAAATGAAGGCGTGGACTTGGGGCGTCTCCCTGTGGTACAGAGGCTGTGCCTGGGGCTTTGTGCGTCTTGGTTGAAGACATGGTGGCCTGGAGGACAGGGCCCCACTTCCTAGCAGGAAGGATCCTCCCCGGTTGGGAGCATGTGGCTGGGCCTGGTCCGCACAGTGGGAGGACTGGGTCTTGGGGCCTTCTGTGCCCCGGGTCGGCCCGGCTCCCCACTGGGCAGGCGCCCAGCCCCGCATCAGCCATCCTTGCCCTCCCTTGCCACTCACCGTTCACCAGGGCGATGTTCAGGCCTCTGCCCACGTTGTTCTTCACAGGACTCATGAGGCTGAAGGTGGAGAAGGAGGGAGATGCAGTGTGGCCCTGAGTGTGGGGTGGACTTGCTGCTTTGGGGATGGGGCCTGTGAGTGGCCCGGGGGGCACAGGGCAGTGCTGGGGCTGTCCCTGTGCTCCTGGGCGCCCGTGATGCTGGGTCACTGGGGAGCAGTCATGGCCCGATTTGGGTCAGGACACTGCTGGGAGGCAGGGCAGGGTTCCCACCTGGAGCTCTGCAGCCACAAGGACCCAGAAGGTGCTGCCCTCTTGGGGTGGCCAGAGGCACTGCTGGGCATTCTCCCTCTTCCTGCTGGCCCCCAGGAGGGCTGTGGCCCACTACTGGCACTGCAGCTGCCTCCTAGGATTGACCACTTCCTTCTGGGCCTGGCCAAGCTGAGTGTTCCGTGCTGGTGGCCACTGACAGGGCCAGGCACGGCCGTGTGACCCAGGGCAGTGAAGGAGACCCTGTCTGGGGACTTTCTGGGGCAAGTCAGAGGAACACACTTTTCCTAGGGCCACTGGGCTGGGCAAATGTGTGAACCCAGCTGGCAGCCTCTTTCCTCCATCAAGCAGAGATGTCTGTTTTCAGTACAGAAAAATGAAGCCAGTGGACAGAGGGAGGTAGAGCTGAGGATGTGGTGGGGAGCCTGGATGCTACACATTGAACCCCCTGGATCTAGCTGGTCCTGAAGCTGACACCCTCTAGACTTTTAGGGGTGGGAACTAAAACATTCCTTGCTTTGCCCAGATGATTGTATTAGGTTCTGGATCCTGACTTAAACCCCAGCCTGTCTGCTTTTGTAGGAGGAGCTTGTCCCGGGCCTTTATTGTCTAGGTTGGGTAAGAGGTACACAGTGTCTCCCGCACCTAGGCGGAAACCCCGTGCCTGCTGTCTCACTGTGACACCTGGTATTGATCCTGAGTCCCTCCCTTAGCGAGGGAAGCTTGGCTTTCAGGCAGATCTGAGTTCGCATCCCAACTTCAGCCTTGGCTGGGCAGGTGACCCTGTCTGCGCCTCTCTTTCCTCTTCCATACACCCACATCCTAGGGTGCCAGGCAGGCAGAAGAGGGTGCCAGATGAGAAGGACTTAGCAAGGGGCAGCCCTGAAGCTGTTTGCCGCGATTCGCGAGGCTGAGGGAGTCTAGAAGGAGCAGCTGCTTCGCAGGCCTGTCCCCCGCAGCCTGTGTCTCTATGAATGAGTGAATGATGTGGGAAATGTAAGGACAGAGGCACGGATGTGCCTGAGTACTTACATTTGGTTTTCAAAGCACATGGAGGGGCCCACGACGTTGGCGGCCCCACTGCTGATTTTAAAGGCGAAGAAGTTGTCCTGGCAGGGCTTGCTGAGACCACACTTGGACTTCGGGGCCTCTGGGGAGTAACACAGCAGTCTCGGGAAGGGGCCCCCAGGAGGAGAGGACTCAGCCTGCTCTGCTCCAGCGGTGGCACCTATCCCTCAAAGCACAGGCCCTGGCTGTGTGTCCAGCACCTGCAGTCACTTGGGGGTTTCCCTTGCCAGTCCCTACAAGGCTCAGCAAGTGTGGGGGCAGCGGTGGAGCTGGTGACCAGGATCACTGTGAGGAAGGGATCTCCTTGGCACCTCTGCTGATGAGTGCGTGGGGCCGTGGCCTGGCGGGTGGAGTCCCTCTCTGCTGGGTTCCTGGCAGCACCTCCCTGGGGCTCTTGCAGGCTGCATGGCTGTGCCAGCGTGGCTCACACTCCATACCCAGGGTGCTCACATCTGGCCTCACATCTGCTTCTGCCCTCACTCACTCCTGAGCACCAGCGAAGTGCCAGGCCCTGGATCGCACCAGCATTAGGCACCCCTGAGGCACCTCTGACGATGGTGATGGTGACTGAGACCCTCCCAAGGCAAGCCCAGCAGGTCTGTGATGGGCAAGAGACATGGGCCTCACCCCGGGCTGCTAGCACAGCCTGGAGGTTTGGCCCCAATGTGAACTGGGGACCAGAGGTGCTGTCAGCCTGGCTGATGCCCCTTTGCCAAGTGTGTGTTCAGCAAGGACCAGGAAGGCGGAAGCAGCAGGTGCCTGGCTGTGGGGGTATAGGGTGGGCAGCTAAGCCGAGACCAGGGCTTGCTGGGAGCTGGGCACTGTGGCAAGCACTTCCTGTTCATTGCCTCATGAAATCACCCTGCTATGTGTGGCTGACACATAGCAGGTCTAGGGTGCACAGAGCGGGCAGTCCTGTGACCCAAGTACGATGCTCGCCTTTGGCTCCCTTCCTGGGTCTCAGAACATCCCCTTGAGGGAACTGGCAGGGAGTGATGACCCCCACCAGGCTGTGGCTGAAGATGGGGAGGACTGGGCTGGGGAGACACCTCAGCCAGGGTTGGGGAGAGGGGACTGGCAGTGTGGCCTCATGCAAAGGGCTGTTGAGGACCTTGCCTCTGGATTAGATGGGGTGGGGATCCTGGACCAGGTGGTCTCAGCTCAGTGGGCCACAGTGTGGTCATTACAGAGGACAGACAACAATAGTGCCTACTGGGGTGTGTGTGTGTGGGGGGTAACCTAAGATCCTGTGAAGCGCGAACACATTGTGTGGCCTGGAGTGAGCATTGTCACGTGCTTCCCCAACACTTCTGTGCCTGCTCCTTGTCATCTTCCTGTCCCTAGGCTCAGCGCTCCTGCACACTCGGCTCCATCTCCATGGCTCACTCCACCTTGCCCTCCACAGGAGCCGCAGGGTCCCTTTGCCTAGAGTGGCCCTTCCTCCCCAAGACCCAGCTGACCCTTCTGCCTTTGGCCCCTGGCCTCTCCCACTGGAACCCAGAGCCTCGCCTCCTCTAGTGGCACACCTGGAGTTTCAATCACCTACAGTCAATGACCCTCTTTTCTGTCTCAGGTCCCTGTAGCATCTGACACTTTCTAGCAGCCAAGCCCAGGCTGGGGTCCTTGCAGTAGAGATCACCATGGTCTTCCAGCCAGGCAGGGTGCAGTGCGGAGGCAGGGGTGTCCTGTGGTCTGCACTGAGGAATGGAAACCCAGAGCCATGTCTCTGCCAGTGTGAACCCCTGGGAGACCACTGGGCTCCAGAGGGCACCACTGGCCATGGAGTGGCTGGGCAGATCCTGGGCATCTAGATTTCTCTGGGACCCACAGCACTGGGCATGGGGACCCTGGGACATGCGGCTCTAGAACAGTTGGGGGCTGAGTGGATACTCACGGCTCTCCTTGGGGGCCATGCCTAGGGAGAGAAGGTAGAATCTTGTTTAGAAAGAAGCATTTTGATCCCCGGCAGGAGGCAGGTGGGGGCCAGGCTGGGACTTTAAAGTGGACTAGCAGTGCCATCTCCTCAGGGGGTCCTCACTTACCCCTGCTGTTACCCCGTCACATGGTTACAACACGAGCATAGCCATGCACACAACATGTGGATACACAGAGACACACGTGCCTATGCACGGGTCTAGTGCAGAACACATGTGTACACTCTCACATGCACCTCCAGACAGGCATGCACACACACATTCAGACACACACCACTCATGTTAAAAGGAAGTGGTAGCTTGGTGTGGTGGCACGTACCTATAACCCCAGCACTCGGGGAGGCTGAGACAGGAGGGTCATAAGCCCAGGGCCAACCTTGGAAACATACTGAGAGTGTCTCAAATAAATAAATAAATAAATAAAACACTACGAAGGGCTGAGGATGTAGCTCAGCAGTCCCTGGGTTCAATCCCCAGGACTGAACAAGGAGGAGGAGGGAAAGGGGAAGAAGAAGAGGAGGAAGTGGAAGAGCAGGATGAAGAGGAGGAGGAGGAGGAGGAGGAGGAGGAGGAGGAGGAGGAGGGAAGCCAGCAGCAACTGGTCCGTGCCCTGAGGTCCCCTGGAGTTCGGCCCCTCACTCATACTGTGCGGTGTGCCACCTCCCTGAGCCTCCGTGCCCGTGTGGAATCCATCTCCGCCAGCTGCCCTGGGCTGTGAGCGGACCCTGTGCTGTCAGCCTATGAGGGCCCGGCTCTGGGCCCCAAGGAAGGACGGAATTGCTGTTGTTGGCTTGGCCCTGCTGTGGTCTCTCTCCTGACTGCCCGCAGTGCCGACTGTGTGCAGTGGTCCTCAGGGGCCTTGGACCCCTTCAGACATCTTATCTTACACGGGGTCCTGATTGTTTCTGTGGCCCCAGCCTGAAGAGTGTCCTGGAGGACAGTTCCCCAGGGGGTGCAGAAAGGCCATCAGAGGGTGCCCTCCTTTTCTGGTGGGTCCTGTGAACACTCACACTTTCCATCTGGTCTTTAAGGGGAGCACCTATCCTGGGGTGTCCCTACTCCCTGCCTCCAAGGTCTCAGGAGCAGCAAGTGACCCAGGCTGGGCCAGCAGTCCTGTTACTTCTCTGGGCAGAGCCCTTCCCTGGGCTGACTTTCCCTGGGCTGGGAAGCGGGAGGGAAGGATGTACCCTGCTTAGCAGTGAGTTGAGATGTGGGTCCGGACCGCTGGTGGCGACCTCTCTGGGGGAGGAAGCGGCCAAGGAAGTGGGGTGTAACTTGTGAAGTAGCAAGAATCAGAGCCTGAGGACCTGGAGACAGGTTCTCAAGGCTTTCTGGAAGCTGCTGATCTGGCCACACCATTGATTTCCTAATTAGATGACCCAAGCCATGTGTTTCATTGCAAACAGAGCTGAGTTTAGCCTTCCATCTGAAGAACTCCTGCGTAATTTGCCAGATGAGCTGGGAGCCTTAACCTCCTGATTTGTATGCCATGGATCCTTTTGGTAGTTTGAACTCCCCCGAGAAGGATTTTTAAATCCACTTCCCTGGGGACACTTAGCATTTCTTTTTCCCACAGATCACAAGTTATTAACTACATAAAATAAAGGAAACCAATTATCTATCCACGTAACAACTGTGAAAGTAAATTGGCGTGGTAGTAATCCACGTGCTTCAAGGTGAATGCCCTAAATAGTAACCCGGGGTGTGTGCCCCTAAGGTACGCAAAACCTGTGGCTCTTAGAGCCAGCTTCCCCTTAGCTACACTGCCTGCAGTTCCAGACACTCTGGATCGTGCTAACACACTTTTGTTTCTGTGACTGCAGTAATCGAACCTGTTCATTCCTCTGATCTAGCCATGAGCAGCAGCTAAGAAGCCTCTAGACCTAACAGAGCTCAACACCGATGCAGGTTTATTGGACGCTGTTTTGTCAAACCCCCGGTAGTTGAGATCTGGGACAGAAATCATTACTGGGGACACCTGTCACCTCCGGGCCTTCCTGCCTGTATCTGTGGCTCTGTCCCATGGAAGACACTGCAAGCTGCGGGCACCCTGGGCATCTTGTGCTGCTGACAGGAAACCATGTAAAGAGACGAGGTACTTGGGTCCTCTGCTGGGGGGTCGTGTTGAAGATGAGGTGCCTGGTTCCTGGTGCCCTCAGGAAGCTTTGAGCTGCACCGAGTCACCCAGATTACGAGGAGCTCTGTCAGTGGAGATGGTTCTTGTTTTTCTAGGAGGACAAATCCCTCCTTCTCTTGATCAGAAAGGATCTGAGTCTGAGAAACCTGAGACCCCGTTCCTGTTCTGACAACTCCAAGGGAAAATGGCTGAACTGTTAACATCTTTCCGAGCCTCTGCTTCCTCAGGACACATGTGAACCTGCCACAGATCCTGAGTGGGGCCACCTCACAGCCACAGCATGGGTCAGTGTGTGGGGCACCTGGGCAGAGTAGATGAGATGGCACACTTCAACCAACTAGCAGCCATCCAGCCCCTTGTTTGTCAGTTCATCCCTGTGTCCATCCATTCACTTGTCATTCCATCCATCCATCCATCGTGGCCTCCATCACCCATCCATCCATCACCCATCTGCATCCATCCATTCCTCCATCTCTCCATCCACCCACTCAACCATTCATTCTTCCATTAAAAAAAAAAAAAAAGAACCCACCCAGTGCTCAGCAGGCACCTGCTCGGAGCCCCATGTTAAAGGGATGAGTGTTCACAAAATGAAATCCTTGCCTCTGGAAGGCTCCCATTCTAGGGAGGGGATCAAACAAGGAAAGAAATTCCTGAACAGGCTCCACGGGCAGGTGCCTGGCTGCCACCGCTGTCTGTTTCCTGAGTGCCCTCCCCGTGCCCTCCCCTGACCCACCCGGCCGTGACCCCACTCACCCAGCCACCGTGGCATACGGATGTTTTTTGTGTTGAGGCTGATGGAGCTGCGGAGGAAAAGCCACACGGCCAGCAGGGTGAAGAAGAGGGCAGTGAGGCGGAGGAGACCTGTGGGGCAAGTTGAAAACTCTGGTCCTGGCTTCCCCCAGGCCTTTGGAGACTCTCAGGAAGACACACAAGGCTCTGTACCCTTCTATGGCTGCTAGAGGAGCAACCTGACCACTGCTGCAGGACCGGGCGGGCTCCGGGAGGCGAGGACTCCGGGAGTCAGGAAGGCCACGTCCAGGCCTTGGGGCAGCCAGTGGTGCTGTGTGACCTCAGGCAGGAGCTTGACCTCCCCAAGCTGGCATCTGTCAGTCACAGGGTGGTCACGGCAATGCTCAAGGCCCTGAGGTCATGGCTTGTTGGGAGGGATGTTAGAGTTACCAATAGTAGGTGGGTTTTGGGGTGAATTGGGTGGGAAGGAGCATCTCCCATACTTTCTTTCCATCACCTCCCTCGCAAAGCTGGCACACAGTGGACTCCCCGCAGTGTCTTCAGTCCTCAGAGCAGCTCTGGGTACCCAGACTTGCCCTCAGGCCCCCATTCCCACAGGCCTGTGGCACCCATATCATGCCAGGCAGTGTGTGAAGAGCTGTTAAATCCAAGGCCTTCATGTATTGCACACCTGCCTATGTGCTTGATGCTAGGACTCCCCTCATTTTACAAATGAGGAAACGAAAGAGGCTGTTGCTTCCCCATGGTCCCTGGGCTAGTGAGTGACCGAAGAGGGGTTTAACCCAGAGAGAAGGAAGCTGACTCCAAAACCAATGTTCCTGGCTCTTCAAAGCTGTTTGGGAATGAAATGGTGGTATGCATGTGCATTTCATGTTTGGTGCCTCAGTTTCCCTGTCTGTGCAAAGGCAGTGAAGCCTGATGGTTAGGGATAGAGGGACTTTGCCTTACTTGGGTCCATCCCTGAGCTTTGAGGAGGCTAGGTGAGACCTCCCTGAGGTCAATATTTTGTGTCTCATTTCCAACCAGGGCCTGGAGCCCTTGTCAAAGCTGGGTCCATTGTACCAAGTCTCTCCAGGCTGCAGCCTGGAGGCAGAAAGTTGCCTCTTCCACTCTTGAAGCTGCACTTGGTTTGGTTTCTTCCTGGGATCCTGGCCAGGCCATTGTCAGAACAGAGACCCCAAAGCACCTGAGCCCAGGATGGACAGACCCCACCAACAGTAAGTGACTCCCAAATGAATTTAAGAGCCCGACTGTGAGACCTCTCAGAACCAGGTCCTACCTGATACTCTCATCATGTCGATGTGAAGAGTGGCTTGGGGTCGTTGTTAACCTGAGGAGAGAAGAAAATTGAATCGGAAAGTGGCACCTGGCACTTGAACATGAGCAAGAGTAAAACTCTCCCTTTGCAGCTCCATCAGCTTCAGCACAGAAACCTGAGCCAGAGTCAGACAAACACAGCTCTTCGGAGCCGAGTCCATCGGGGCCAGGGCCACGTGGGGCTGGGGAAAGAGAGAGGAGCACAGGAGGTAGTGACCGTAATCCTTTTGGCTGGAGTCCTTGCCACCCAGGAGAGTAACTTTCCTTTTTCCCTCTGTCTTCACCTTTCTTTCACTCATGCTTCTGGAGGTTTCTTCAATCACCATGTTGTTTTTTAAGTAGAGAGATTCAAAAATAGAGAAAGTTACAGTCTGAAAGGCATTGTCTTTTGGACAGTGTTCTAGATGTCCCCCAAAATCTCATGTGGTCATAGGTGGGGCTTTTCATAGGTGGATGGATACAGGATGTGGTGCTTGGATTAAGTGTTCGATTCAGGGATCAAGCTTGTGTGATTACTAAATTAATCCACTGACTGGTTTGGCATAGATCTGGGTGTGGATAATGGGAAGGCCCTCCCTGCGTGTGGGCGGCACCATCCGAAGTGTGGGTAGCCTGGAAGGGATAACAGGGAGAGCAGGCTGCTGCTGCCTCTGCCTCCCACTTGCCCTGCCATGCACTATGTCACCTCTGTGATGCCCCTTGCCATGCCACCCTGCCATGGAGCCAGCCAAGTGTGGACTTAAACCTCTACAAACTGTGAGCCAAATAAGCCTTTTCTCTTTTAATTTTGGTTGTCAGATATTTTCTATTATGAAAAAAGTAACTTAGATGATTTGATTTATTCACTCATCTATCCATCCATCCATTCATCCATCCTCAGATATACTTGTTCATCTTCTCACTTATCCATCTACTCATCCATGCATTCATCCACATGTCCATCTGTCCATCCATCCATCCATCCATCCATCCATCCATCCATCCACTTCTTCCTTTTTTTCCTCTAGCCAGGTAGCCAAGAGATATTGAGCTAGCTAGCTCAGTAAAACCACCAGGGAGCAGAAACTCAGGTGATTTTTGTTGTTGTACAAGATGAAAAGTAATCAGAACTCACATAACAGGTTTGTGCCAGGTAATCTGTATCTCTGTATCTATCCATCCATCATCTACCATTTATCTTTTAGGGATGAGGAAAATTCATGGTGGTTAATCCAAGGTTATTCAGCTTGGAAAAGTGAGAGCCAGAATTTGAATTCAGGGCTCCAGCTATTGACACCTTGAATTCCCTATGGGTCTAGTACATTTGAGTCAGGAGAGTAGAAGTTGATGTTTACTTCCTTCTTGAGTGCTAGAGAGGGCCAGGTCATCCTTTTTGCCACCTCTGCCCCACACTGACCCCATGTGCAGGTAGTTGCCGGGGACTGGGCAGCTTGAAACCCCTGGCAGGTCTACAGAGTCTGAGGAGAGGGCAGGGCGGTGCTGGCTGTAGCTGCGCTGGGTCTGGCTCCTCCTGTCCCTGCCCTCTGCCCTGCATATGTCTCAGTGTCCCGACCCCTCCTTGCCACACAATGTGGAGACACCCAGGCCAGATGGGACCTTCGTATTTAAACAGCTAGTACAAAGCCACATCTTTTGTGCTTGGTAAAAGTGCTCCCAGCTGCCTGATCCTCCTCCCAGACAAGGGTTTTGTAAAACTTTAACTCTGTAAAATTCAGGTTACCAACTTTATTTTTTCCAGACACAAAAATATATCAGACTCTGCCTGTGCTGGGGTTGAGACCGACAGTCCAGGAGTGCAGGACTCTGGGCGAGGCACGAAGGATATTCTGTGGGGTTCCCAGCATGTAGAGGGCCAAGGGCGTCTGGCATAGCCAGGCTGGAGGAACAGCGCCCAAGTCAGGTGGACACAGTTACTCACACAGCATGTGCAAAAGGAAAGATCGGATCCGTCATGGCCAGGGCCACAAGGGGCTGGGAGACTGACAGGGGGACAGACAGAGATCCAGACAGAGCAATGGGGGGCGGGGGTGAGAAACAGCCAGGTGAAGAATAATGGAGAAGCACGGAGAGGTGGCCAGAGCCAGAGCATCTGAGACTGTGACTGGGGGACAAGGGAGACGGGGAGGAGCAGGGCCAGCCTGATGTCCCTCCTGACCGAGTCCCCAGCTACCCACCTGGCACCTGAAGTCCCCAGCCCTCTTTCCCTGGCAGGCGCGGGTGCAGTGGAACAGGAGTCTGGGACTGACCTGGGAGAGTCCAGTCCGGGAGGTACTCAGGGCGGGGCGGACTCCCTCCGCAGCCACCAAGCCCTGAAAGCAGCTTTTCCTTCCTGTGTGGCGGAAGGCAGACTGTCACAACCTGTTATTCAGGTTACAGTGCATAAGGAAGGCCCTGCAGCTCTGGCTTGACTTGGGTCCCAGGTCCTGATAAGACCTGGGCAGTGCTGCTTACCTGGCCCTCTGGGCCAGGGCTGAGGTAGGGCGCAAATCCTGCTGTGAGCTGCTGCCCTCCTCCCTCCTCCCCGGACTGGACGGTTTCTCCCTGGGTTTGTGGCAGCTGCTCAGTCCTGTGTTTGAGCGCACTCTGTTCCACCGCAGGCCCTGTATCATGCAGGCCTAGGCTACCCTGAGCACTGGGGAAGTGATCAGTAAACGTCTGGGGACGGACCGAACTAGATGCTTGCATACTCTCGGGAGGTTAGTGTGACTGAGCCAGCGGCCAGAGGAGGAGGCTGAAGCTTGGAGAGGGCATGTAGGTTGCTTGAGGCCACACAGCCTGGTGTGGATCTGTTGTGGTGAAGCTCTCCTGCTCTGCAGCAGGCAGCGTGGGCATCCAGCATGGGAGACTGCTGGGAGTGAGCCGGCCTCAGCCGTGGCCCTGGGTCTTGGCACTTACGGCTCGTCCCTTGTCCTTCTCTTCTGGCCTGGAGCACTCCTACCCACTTCTCCGGTCTCAGTGCAGAAACTCCTTCTCCGAGAAGCCTACCCTGACTTTCCCAGTCTAGGTGGAAACACCTATCTGGAGGGAGGCACAGCCCCCTGACTCTGGCCGGCCAATCAGAGCTGTGCAAGGTCCTCACGATTGGCTTTGAAGGAAGTATGTGACCCAAGGAAAGCCAATCAGGGTCCTGTGTAGGATGGAACCCGGGAGGGAGAAGCTCTTTGGCCCCTGAAGCCACGCTAGCTCCGTTGTCTTGAAGTCTGGGCTCCCTGGCTCCCCTTTCTCAGCTGCTGTAGTCCGTCTCTCCTCTTAGGCACAGCCTGTGGTCTGGTGCGGCCCCTGGGCCTCTGGCTGTGGAGCTGGTCTTGCATCAGGCGGCAGAGGACACATCTTGAGATACGACAGACCCAGGCTGTGGCTTACACACTGGGGGATTATTTGGCGCCCCTCTCTGGACCTCAGTTTCTCCCCTGGTAAAAGGAGAACAATACTATCTACCTATGCCGGAGCGGGTTGCGGCAGCCAGGCCGGGCCCTCTGGAAGCCTTGCCAGCCTGGCCTGTCCGCCTCAGGGCTTCCTTGTTTGCAGGGCTCACTTGGCCCTGCTGTTGCCTGCTGGTGCACACCCAGGCACGCCCCACAGCTGTGCTGGGTTTCTTCTCAGCCCTGGTCACCGCAGTGCCTTTCTACCTGCTTAGCTGTGACATTTCTTTCATTTCCTTCCTTTGTTTTTTCATTTTCCTTTGTTGCTTTCCCTCCCTTCCTGCTCCTTTCCTCTTTCCCCTTTCTTTCTTCCTTCTTTCTTCCTTCCTTTCTTTCCTCTTTTCTTCCTCTCTTTCAGCACTGGGAATTAAACCCAAGGTCTCATGCATGCTATGCATGAGCTCTAATACTGAACCACCTTCTTTGCCCCTGTGATGTTTCAGGAGCCGGGATGCCACCTTCCTCCTGTTTCCAGAGACGGTATCAGGACCTCTCACCTCAGTTCTGCCCTGTCCCACAGCCAAGATGCGCAGAGGAAGTCCCTCTATTGCCAGGCTTCCAGGCTTGAGTAGAGCGCATGGTGGGGAAATGAGTATTTTCCCTGGCTGAGCCTGGCTGGTGCCTGGCCTGGCTCCGTGAGGTGCCCCCTTCGAGGTGCCTTCTCCTGCTTCGTGGTGGGCCCTGACTTTGGCCACTTTCTGCTCCAGCTCTTAGGACTCTTCCTCCCTATTCTGTTGCTGGCTCAAGGCATGCAGTGGGTGTGCAGCAAACCTGTTTGAAGGAAGTGACTTGCTGTTTGGGAAAGTGAGGCAGAAGAAACAATCCCTGCCTCCCCTGTAGCTGTAACTTCTTGTTTTGGGACAGGTAAGATTGGCAACTATGTCCTGTACTCAGAGTTACATGGTTTTGTTCTCGCAGGAGTCATAAGGCTCTGTCTTCCTTCAAGGCTGTTACTAACTGCTTTGTCTTGCTTCTGTCCCCTTGCTCTCCACTCCCCCAGTTCCTAAAGACCAAGCCCCTCAGCCAAATATATAAAACCAGAGCCTTTGTTTGGTTCTAACATCTAGCACTTTGGACGTGAGTTTGGCTGAATCAATGTGCATCTAAAATCCTGCAAATAAATCTTCCCTTTTCCCCACTGGACCCTCTCATCTCTTTGGTTTCTGCAACAAAAGGAGCTTGGGAGGAAGGGAGGAAGGGGGACTCCACGTCCAGTATTTCCTTCCAAAATCATGGTGTCTGTAGGACAGGACCAGACTCAAGCCTCAACCAGCCTCTACTGGAAATTCCAGTGCCGGCCCTTGTCCCCATCCTTCCTGGACACTGAGCAGACTGAGCGTGCTCACCAAAGGCAAGGCTCACTGTCTGTCCTTCCGTGGCTTCTTTGTGTTCCACCTTTGTCTGCCTCCAACTCTGTGTGGAGTGGGTTCATGGCAAGGGATGGTGTCCTCATTGTGTGGGTGTGGGACATAGGAACTGGAGAGGGGCAGGGACAGGACAGGGGAACCTACTCAGGAGGAAAGAGAGGAGACTGATGCAGAGAGACCTGATCAGCATGAAAAAGAAACAGAGGTGAGGCTGAGGAGTTTGCTCTGAGGAGTTTGCGCTGTCTCCTCGCTGAGTCCCCTGCCATCCCCCAAGGCCATCCCGAATGCCTGTGATGGTGGCTTGGTCTAGGTGAGCTCATCAAAGTAACCAAGGGCCACTTTTTGTTCCCTAAATGGTCCTTCTTGTAAATCCCCGGTATCTGTGGGCAGTTATTGATCATGCCACCAGTGCAGAGGGAGATAAACAGCAAAGAAGTCCATAAACAGTAAGGCTGGAGGTGTGAACAGTTTGTTCTGTTGACATTTATTTTGGAAGGAAATAAACCCATTATATCTATTATGCCCTGTGCTAATTTTATTTATTGGTTTTAATGGTTTTCTGCAGCTCTGGGTCATGCAGAGCCATACAACAGAAAATACAGGGTCTGAACAGGTGAAGGATTCTGAGGAGTTTACTCCCAGACCCCGACTGGACTGTTTCCTAGACTAAGACCACCAAGTTTGGTGCCGGGACTACTTAGAGACATATCTGGATTAACCAGTTGAATCCCATGAAAGCTTGCTGAGGAAACTGGGGAAACTGAGGCCCAAAGTGGTCAGGTTGCACAGCTAAGAGTCAGAGGAAGAGAGATGCTCGGGGGAGACCCAGAGGTCTGTCTCTGCAGTCCATATCCTTAACCACTTTGCTGCATGGCTCTTGAGCTCAGGTTGACAGTGTTCTCCAAAGGGCCAGATCTTAAATATTTTGGGCTCCTGTGAGCCTCAGTCAAAATGACTCACTCTTGCCACTGTAGGAGGCATATGAACAAATCAGTGTGCATGTGGTCCAATAAAACTTTATTTATAAAACAGCTGGGGGTCACAATGGCCCAGGGCTGTGCCCATGGCTGTAGGTGGATGTGAGCCTGCTGCTTCTGCCTGCAATTCAGGGGGCTTTGGCTGAGCTGCAGTGATGGGGAAAGAAGGCTTCCAGGGTGATAAGAGAATTTCTAAGGTTCTGTCCCCATCTTCTCTTTTTAGCTGCCAATGCCTTGCTCCAGGACCCCTGTTCACTTGGCAGGGGCAGCTATCTGTCCTCTTTCTTTTTGTGGGTTTTTAGTAGGACTTTCCTCTCAAGTGACCTGACAGAGCCCATTGCCTGAAAGTACCTTGCTTGGTGCCAGCACCCAAGTGGCCCTGAGGACTGGCTACTCTAGTCATGCTTGCACCCCTCGGCCTTGCAGGGGCCTCCATGGCCTCAGAACTGGGAGTCTCCGTGACAGGGTGGGTCTGTCTGTGTGGGGGCCTTTGTAGATTTCGCCATGGAGCTGCAAATGCAGGCCTCCATCAGCCTTCCCTGGTCCTGGGCTGTCCATGCACAGTATACTCCCTAATTTAGGGAAAAAATGCAGGAATATACCTAAAACAGTATTGGGTACAGAGGAAGTGACAGGAGTCATACTGAAGCAGGTCCCCACACTCTCTCCTTTGGGGAGGCTCTGTGTGCCCTCAGCACTTCTTCCTAAACCCCTCTAAGCTGAGAGAAGTGGGTGTTTTCTGAATGGGAAGGGGTCCCCAGGTCCTAGAAGAGCCTCTGGAGAAAAGGGGTACCATCTGTCAACACGGGCAAGCTCAGAGTCTGCTTGTATCTCGAACCCCTCAGACTACAGGCCTGTTAACCCCAGAGGCAGGCGTGAGTCACTTGAATTCCCTTCATAGAGTGCCCGGCTGTGTCAACAGAGGGTTAACTGGATGGGGGGGGGGGCCTCTGGGCTCATTCCTGGGTCCTGCCTGTCCATATCACTTCATTGAGTCAAGCATGACCTACAGACTTGGCAGGAGGGTCATTCTCTTTCTGTTGGAGGCTCAGGATTTGGCCTCTGGTAATCAAAATAGCGCCTCCACAGTGAAATCGAGTTTTATCTAAGAAGGTATGGGCTCCAGGGAACCTCACTGAAGGGAAAAAAAAGAAAAAAGGAAGAAGAAAAGGGTTTTAAAACAGGGTCTGGCTAGGTAGTCCAGCCTTGAATTTGCTATGTATTTTAGACTAGACTCAAACTCATCTTCCTCATGAGTGCTGGGATTATACACATGTGCTACCTAAAAAGTCTTAATGATAGTAACAATTCTGACAAGCATTGTGATTCTGACACAGGTGAGCCCTGCGTCCTTTAATTTTCCCAGGTTTGCTTTGGGACTCACCCTCTCCCTCCGACACAGCTGGATGGGCCTGTTCTCCAGCTGCCACATGGCAATCACATGGCCTCGGCCTGGCTGGGAGGTTTTCTTTCAGGAGGGGCCCCACCTCATGGACAGGGTTTCTCCGTTTCAAACCACAGCCACGTCCGCAAGGCCGTCTCCCATTAAGTCTGCGCCACTTCTGCTGTCTTGAGGCCCAAGTAGGCATTGGAGGGGCCCCAAAGCTCAGGTCAGCTCCTGGTTTTCCTTGCTACAGTTACCTCCTGATGGCCTAGAAGCCATGGCTCTGACCCTTCCACAGCAGAATATTCTTCCCATGCAAAAGCGATCCTGACGGCAGGACCACCCCTCTCTGGCACTGTGCCCCAGGCCAGCTTGTCCCCCACTGCCTGTTGACTCCCAGCTCCCACCTTCAGCCTCTGGTGCTGCAATTTTCTCCCTTAGGGCTCCTTCCCCACTGGTCCCCGGTGCCCCCAGTAGGTTGTGGAACGCAGCCCCTGAGGTGTTCCTGGGCTAGGCTCGTGGCCCTAAGCTTCTCTACCATTCCCAGTCTTCATGGTAGGCACCAGGCTTCATGGTAGGTGCTCCACACACACTGTCTTCTTTTGTGTGTGTGCTGGGGATTGAACTTTGCCACTGAGCTATAGCCCTGGACACATACTACCTTTTTCAAAATTCATATCCTTCAAAGTCCCAAGAGACTTATAATGCTCCTTCCTCCTTCTTTTGAGTGAAGAGAGACTCAGACAAGTCCCAAGATGAGAGGACAGGCTCCAGGAGACACCGCTGGGGAAGGCAGAGTTGGGATTCAGACCCCAAAGTTGAGGGTGCTCACCCCACAACTTATACAACTTCATCTCCAGAGACTGTGCCCTTGGGGAGCAAACCTCAGAGTTCTCACCTTGCTTTCCAGTGCCTTCAAAAGCAAGGGGTGTCTACCAGCCAGAGCCACATGGTCCCCTTGTTTCAGCGGGGAAGTTAGGCTGCACCCTACCTGCTCTAGAGCTCCTGCTAGAATGCAGTTGCTGGTGACCAGCTGGGCCTGTGTGTGAGCTGGGAACTGAGTCCTGGAAAAACTGCTGTAATGACACAAGCCCCTTGGCCGGCAGGCACCCCCGCTCACAGACATCGGCCCCAGCCTGACACTGGGCAGAGGCAGACCCCACAGCTGTGTGAAATCTGTGACTCTTGCAGACCTCACCTCCCTGATGACTCCTTCCCTTTCTGGTCTGGGTGCCCCTTTAGGTGCCCACTGTGCCCAGCACTTAGCTCTCCTGCCTGTAAAGTCCCAGCCTTCACAAATTTAGTCTCCTTCTTGGAGAAGTCTTGGCCTGGAATCTCAGGTTATCTTCATGGTACATGTAACAAGCAAACAAGCAAGAACTGTTCTGAAAATGACCATTTTGAGGCTGGTGTGGTGGCACGTGTCTGTGATTCCAGTACTGGGGGACTGAGGCAGGAGGATCACTGTGGGTTTGAGGCCAGCCTAAGCTATAAAGTGAGTTCAAAGCCAGCCTACACTACTACATAGTGAAACCCTGCCTCAAAAGGACAAAAAAAAAAAAAAAAAAAAGAAAGAAAGAAAGAAGAAAGGAAAGAACGACTGTTTGAAAATCTGCAAGGTTTGCTTTCTGGTTTGAACAATATGTGTGCTCTCCCTGTTAACCACTGCAGCCCCATTTACCTGACACGTAGGTAACGCTTAATTAATGCTTCACGGAGTCATTCATCTGTAAAGACACTCCAGTGTTCAGGCTGCCTGCCTCTAGCCATGCACTTGGAATGAACAGCATGTACCCCATGGTCAGCTTGAGGAATGCTGCAGCCAGACAGCCTGGGCAAGTCGCTAGACCTCTCAGGGCCTTGGTCCCTCATCTGCAGAAGGAGTAATACTGGGCTCTAGCCTCACAGAGGTGATAGGACCGTTAAAGGTGTTGTGCTGGAATCCCTCTACACACAGCAGGTGCTGTATTATGTATTTTGGTGGTTGATATTACAGATGTCTTGACAGTAAGAACTTCAGAGATTGGTAGGGGGTATTCAGACTATTGTCCCATTTTACAGACGAAATAAGTGAGTCTTAATGGAATGGAGGGGCTAGCTGGACATACCCATCTAGAAAACCTCTCAAGCCTGTGCACCTCTGTCATAAATTTTCAGGTTATTATTTTCAGAGAACATGTGATATCTAGCTAAAGAACCTGTCTTCCTTCCTTATTCATTCAGATATTTTTGTGGCTCCCACTTGATGCTCAGAAAGCTTTTTTGAATGAAAAGATGAGTAAATAAGTAGATGCCAAAGGGCTCTGGTAAGGAAGAAAGCCTACAGGATGGATTATCAGATCCCTGGCTCTCTTCTCCCACATGTCCTTCTTGTGGCCAGAGCAGACGTAAACTAATCAACCACAGCAGACCTTTGTCCCGAACCTGTGCCCAGCCTCAGAGCCTTCATATACGAGTCCACTATCAATTGCTCAGGCTTGGCCTCTCAGATTAAATCTGTTTGCCTTCCTCAGTCTGATATTAGAGATCTCTCTGATTATGTGATGTCTTTATCCTTTTCTTTTATCCTTGTCGCTCAGAATCTTTTACTCCTGTCCCACCCTCCTCCTCCATCTTTTTCTGAGTAACAGGGACCCCAAAGGATGATCCTTTCCTTGCTGGCAGAGACGTACCTGAGGGCTCAGGCTGCTGCTTCTCTGCTTCGATGGAGGACGAGAGATGGTCTTGCTGGCACGTTGGGTCTTGACCCAACCAACCGTAACCTGCCCCAGCTGCTTGGGGTGGCGTCCAGCCTCCTGGTTCCTGGAGAGACTGGGGCTGTCCTGGAACCTCTTGTGGATGTGGCAGCCTGGAGAGAGCCACGGGGAGGCTCATGAGCTCTGCATGAGTTGGCTGCTCAGGCCTTCCCAGGCTCTGCCTCCCTGCTGCCTGGTCAGTCTCACTAGGAAGCAGGAAGTTTAATCTAAGCACTCACCTGGAAGAAATGAGCCTATAAAGTCTTGCCCAGGACCTGGTTGGGGCATAGGACAGGGCTGGGTCTGCTGCTCTCTGCCCCACACCTCTGCTCTGGTCTCAAAGGGAGACTAGGGTGAGCGCCAGGTAGCTTAGGAGTGGAACACCACAGTTTGCCTTAAAAATACCAGAAACACCCACGCTTTTGCTGGCCCTGTCCTCAGGCTGTAGAGAAGAGTGGGGAAGGGTGGGGACAGGTAGAACAAATTGAAGTGGCACTGTCACCTGCTCTGAGGCTCTGGCAGGCAGTAGCTTCTAGAGGTGCTGGGCGGGGGTACAGAAAAGGGCAGACTGGAGGGTCAGCAAAGGAGGGGGCCAAAGGTCATTGCAAGATATTGAGCTGGGATTGGGAAAGTGGGGGAGTCCCTCAATCAAGACAGAGGACCCCCCAGGGGGAGACTACCAGCGACTCCTGAGATCTGCACCATGTTGGAACTTAGGACACTGGGAAACCAAGCAACCAGCCCACCTCCCTGGTAAGCGACTGTGGCTCAGGCAAGCTGAGGCCGCCCCAGGGTGAGAACCACCAGCGTCTCCCAAGATCTGCGCCATGTTGGAACTTGGGGCACTGGGGAACCAGGCAACCAGCCCCCCTCCCTGGTAAGCAGCCGTGAGCCAACCGGTGCGCGGGCTGAGAACCAAACATCCCATCCTCCCTGATTAGCAAATGGGGGCCAGAGATCTGAGCATCTTCTGGGAGGTTGACCATATGCAATATAGCAAATAGGGGGGATTTCCTTCTACCTTCTCTTTGAAGGCAAATACTGTTATCACTATTTTGCTTTGTTCTGATTAATAGTATTGCTCTATTTAATATTCTGTTTTGATAAGTTCTATTTTTTAAATTTTGCTATACCTGATTGAAAGAACAATTACTGTGAAGATAAACGAGATACACTATGGCACCTGTTACTGTTATCCCGGTAACCTGCTGTGAAGTTCTGTACCGATTTCACTGCACTGTCTCAATTGGCTTTGTTCCATCTTGTTCTGTTGTATTTCACTACCTTCAGAATAATAAAAAATTTAAAAATAAATAGTTTTACAAAAACAGACAGAGGGTGATGCAGAGAAGTGAAAAGGTTCTGGTCTGAGCTGCTGTGGGACACTGAGATGGAGATTAGAGCCGAGGGAGCAGGAAAGGGAAGGAGGGAGAAAGGGTCATCGCGGCTGACTTTTAGTGAATGAGGGGTTGTGGACTCCGAGTTGCAGGCAGGAGAGGACCTCACAAGAGCTCAGCACCTTAGCTGCTGACTGTCCTGAGGCCCAGGCAAGCCTGTCTGGGTGTGGTGAATACTTTTAACCTGTCCTTTCCCCCAGGGTGTCCTTTCCTGGTTACTGGATAGGATCCCTCGGATGGAGACTGTGGCTGTTCTTTGGGGAGCAGCCCTGGTGGCCGGTTAAGGGGACTCTGAGACAGCTTCCCACCTTGCCTTGGGAGAGACCTGTCTTTCAGCTCAACCAGCCAAAGTGACCCTCTTTTGGACGTAGTTTTCTGGGCCCTAGTACTTTAGTATGAACCCCAGAAAGGTGGGCACCCTGAGGCACTGGTCAGGAGGACAGGACCCGGGACTGACAGGAATGGAAGGCCACATGGACCCCTCCTCAGCACTGCCCACACAGGCTGCTCTGTCCCGAGGCCTGCACTGTGGTTCCCTACTGCCCTGCGAAGCTGTGTGACCGGCTCCGCTCCTCTGCTCCAGTGCACCGGGGAGGAAGGGAGGACAGGGCAGCCTCGGGGTGTCATGCTTTGCAGAAGCTTGTTGCTGGAGCTAGGGTGGCCATGATTTCCCTTCCAGGATGGAGGCCCCACTGCAGTACGACCAGAGCAGGCGCCCAGGAAACAGCTCCACAGGGTGGGGGTAGGTGGCCTTTGTGCTAGTTCCTGGCTAGCAGCAGCTGCCCAGCACGCAGCCTGCCACATGTTCTGACTGCTGGAGAACAGCTGGCCCCCGTTGGCCACTGGCTGCCTCCTTCCCCCTTCTACCACAGCATGGGGATCCATGCTACAGAGTGGTTACAGAGGGAAGGAGCACTTTGGAAGAGCATTGCCCGGAGTAGTGCCTTAATGAGTTGGGACTGTAGTCATGGCCATATCTTAGGGGTGAAATGTCATCGGTGAACTGGACTTTGCTGGTGAAAAGAGCCAGGATACCTTCTCTTCTCTCTCAGACGCCAGCATATGCTGAGTGAGGCAGTGTCCGGTCTGCCCATGGGTGTGGCTGGAGCAGGCATCTGGAAGGTGAATGATTAATGTTTGGTGGCTGATTCATTTCCTTGGAGTGTGTTTGATGCGAAGAGCTAACTCAGTGCCGGAGAGAAGGTGGGGACGGTCACCCAGCCTTTTATTGTCACTTGACTCAGAACTCTGCCTCTGCTGCTGGCCGGCTATAACTGTTCAGGGATGTTACAGTAAAGCAAGAGCTTGTCTACCTTACTTAAGTATAAAAATAACACAATCCCATCATGAAAAAATGTGGAAACCTGAACAGTGATGGACAACTAATCAGGCCAATGTCCCCAGGGGTGACATTACTATCTTGGTCTGTCTCTTCCCCCGATGTAGAGTGGAGATCTCCCTGCGTGTCCGGCTTTGACTCTTTCTCTTTTGGCTCATTGATACACAAAAGGAAGGCGTTTCCTGTTCATTAGAAAGCTGTATGATCCCTTGATAGCTGCTCTTAATGGCAAATCTCAAAGTTCCATCTCTGTGTTCCCAGACAGCAGGGTGCTTAGACCCTTTCTCTGTGGGAGCAAGTGTGCGGTGTTTGGAGACGCATTGCAGGGACGAGTTGGAACCTTTGTGGACCTTTATCTCTTCTCCTTAATGAGACTGATCATTTCAGCCTCCCACCCACAAGGCTTTATAAGGCTTAAAAGAAGAAACGGACATCGAGGTATTTTGAAAACCATGGGGAAAAATAGCCTTTGAAATGAAAAGCCGGATTTTGAGCAGTTCCTCTTTGAGGTGTGTGTGAGTGTGTGTGTGTGTGTGTTCCTTGCCAGATGAGTGTGGAGCTAGGAATAATAGCATTCAGCATTTATAAAGTGCTCTATTAAGCAAGAGATATGTGTAATCCTTAGTTCATCCCTACAGCAAACCCTAAGGAGAACTATTATCCATAGCCAAATGGGGAAACTGAGGCAAGGAGGTTAATTTACCATGGTAACATAGCTAGCAGAGTGGAAAGTATACACACACACGCATGCGCATGACACACACACACACACACACACACACGCACACACACACACACACACACACACACACACACACACCCTTCTCTGAGAGCCCCTGGCATCAGATATGAGAGTTCCATGAGGTCCTAGCATTTCCTAAAATGAAATTCTGTTTTTATTTGTTGAGCCCAGTGTGGAGCCTTGCAGGCAGGCAGCCTAATCTGGAGATTATTTTTCCAGAGCTGAGGCAGTTGCTGAATTAGTGTGCTTCATTCAAAGAGAAAGTGCAGAGGAACAAAACCTCCCTTGGCATATCTGAGACCAAGTGGCAAAGCAAGACCACCCTGTGCACATCTAAGCACAGGTCTCCATACACATACATTTGCACAGGTGTATGTAAGTGTGAGCACCCATGGGCGCACACTCTCATGTGTGCTGGAGACACCCAGAGGCTTACACAGGCTGCATTTGACCTTCTGGGTGTCTAGAAGGTTGTTTCACCAAGGAAATTAATATTCACAAGCTGAATTTTCTAAATCTAATCTTTGAGAAGCAGCTGGACCAGGACCTGGGCAGCTTTGTGCTATCTTCAGCATCAAGTCTGCCACATTGTTCACAGCAACCCATGGGTCTTGAGATGAAAAGAAACCAGGAAACTTTGCAGGTCAAGGGAAGAAGGCACAAAGTATCCCTTCACCAAGTGGTGCCATGAGTAGCCACCAATGATTTAGGGCTTCCTTACCCTCTTTAGCTGATGGAATCCAGCGTGGTCCCATGTGCCTTGTGTCTGCTTTGTAATAAAATCAGCGCCTTGGCATGGGAGACACAGTTAAGGAGTGAATACTAATTGACTTAAAGGTTTCTCTTGCAAGCATTAATAATTCATTGCTCCATTCACTCCCTCCAGTGCTGCTGTGTGGGTCTTCTCCTGACAGCAGCAGCAAAGAGTAGGGAGGGAAACATTTCCATCAGGACAGGGCTGGAGTGGCAGCTGGGTCAGATGCGTGAGGCTCCAAGGCTGCTTCACAGTGGCCCAGTGAGTGAGGGTTTGCTCAGTGCAGGTGGTGTGGGAGCGCAGTCATACCCAGAGTCTCACATCTTGATGAACTCAAAGCCACATTCCTTTCTGGAGGTTCCTAGGAGAACCATTTCTTTGCCATTTCCAGTTTCTTGAGGCCATACACTCTCCCTGGCTTGTGGCCTCTTTGTCTTTAAAGCCAGCAAGTCTTCTCTATGACTAACCTTGCTTCCTTAGATCTCCCTGGAACTCCCTCCTTCTAGTCCTAGAGACCCCGTAACTGCACCTGGCCCACCTGGGTCACCCTGGCTATTCTTCCAATTTCCTGAATTAACCTGTGCCCCAAGTAAGACATATGGTACATAATATTGGAGGGCAAATCACTTCAGCTGTCTTAAGAATTATTAAAAAAATGCTTGCTCATGAAAAATTATTGAGAATGGCAAAGAGCTATGTGAAATATCTGTCTAAATGCCCATCTGGATGCACTCTCTGAGGTGGAGCTACTCTGCACTAATTCTGTATATCTGTGTTGGTTACTTGTCTGTCATTGCTGAAACAGAATACTTCACACTCAAAGTTAAAGGAGGGAAAGGTTTATTTACCTCACAGTTTGTGGAGGTTTCAGTCCATCCTGGGCTGGCTGCAGGCAGGGTGGCACGTGATAGAGGAGTAGCAGTTCATGGCAGCCAAAAGACAGCAATGTAACAAGAGCAAAAAGGGAGAAGCACAGAGAAGACTCTTTTGCACC